ATTCTAACAGGTATCATATTACTAATTGGTTTGGTCATAATTGCAGCGACAAAAACGCCTTCACAAAGTTCATCAGGTAAAACTAAACATTCCTCGTTCTCGTCTACCCAGCAATATTTGATTACCTCACAGCGAGCTGGTATCGTTGTGTAAAAATCGTACTTGCATTCTATAGGTAGAGAAATCTGAGTATCGTTCACAAAAAAAGAAAATATAAATTTTTCATAATCGATAATTGCCTGGAATTTATAAAAAAAATCTGCCCCAATGACCCCGTGAATGCCGTTCTCAAACGCATCCATCAGCAAAAACTTGTGCACTATATCTGCATTATTAAATTTCAATGTAATATTTGCTGAACCTTGTGAAATTGTTGACCCTGAAATCCCATTTATTTTGACCCGGTTTGAAAAATCAACAATTTCATGTGTTGAAATAAATTTTTTGAAAATGACGCTGACTGACGCCCCAGAATCTAGTAAGAAAAATAATTGTTCATCGTTATAAGTAAATTTAACGTAATTTAAGCCATTTAAATTTAATATGATTGCAGAATCATTACTAATTTGTTCCTGATGGGCCACGAAAAAATGTTGAAGTACTATTTACGATATCAGTGTTTTCTTGGTCATTTTGCATGTAAAAAGTTCGTTGGAAATAATTATTGTTGTTATTCCTATTTTGAGAATTGTATCTATTGAAACTTCCCCTATTAATGCCATTGTTTCGTTGAGAAGATTGTCTCGAATTAAAACCTCCCCTATTTGGATTTTTAGTAGATGATCCCCGGCTGTTGTAGGAATTTTTATTAAAATGGTTGTTGAAGGAGCCACGGTTGTGAGGGTTTCTATTGTAATTGTTAAAAGTGCCCCTGTAATTTCCACGGCCGTGCCCGCGAAAATGAAAAATTTTATTTTGATTTGGTAGCTCCTCATCTTTGGCGCCGCGTATTGCCTCATTTAATGTCGAGTAATTTCTAGCCTTGATAATAGTTCGCAATTCGGGATTTTGCAGGCCGTTGGCAAAAGTGTTAATGGCAATTTTTTCATTAACATTTCTCAAAATTCCGACTGCATTGGCGTTACCATCAGCCTGTGTTATGGTTAAATCAACTAACAACTCTTCTACGTTTTTACCAAACTCGTCCAGGGATTTAGAGCCTTGCCTAGCATTGCTCAGCTTTGAAGATAAAGTTGTAGCAGACCTTTTTGTCAAAAAGTGTGTTTTAATATCAGCAATAAGTAATTGGTTATTGTCGTACTCGTCTTTCAATCTAATTTTTGCGCTCTGCGTTAGACGAGTTTTCAAAACGTAGAGAGTTAGTAGTTTTTCACCATCATTGTCTAACAACGAGTCATACAACTCAATGGCATCAACAAGCAACTTCGTCCCATTTTCAGAACCATCCATAGCAGGTAATAAACTAGCAGCGGTGCGTAAATCAAACTTTCCCGCCATGGTTTCTATATTTATTATCTGCTCTGAACTTTCTAACCTATCATCTAAAATCGATTTTATCGTCTCAAAATATTTTACTATGCCATCTACCTGTAGCTTGACTTGTTTTATAGTATCAGCCTCTTGCCTACTAGTATTGAAGTTATCTCTCAAATTTTTAAATTCTAATTCTAATTTATTAATTTTTTCTAACTTACGTCTAATTACACTAACATTTTCTCTTCTTTCCTGGGAGTCTTTGTTTAGATTCCTATAAAATACTTTTAATTCCTCTAATAAGTAACGAAATTCTTTTTCATCCACCATATCATATCCATTTCCATATATCCAATTTAAACTCGATCGGTGCTTTTAGATATTTCCCGTCTAATTTTCCTCTCCAGTTGTTTCTTACATCTTATATAGCAAAGTATGCCTATACCAATAATTGCCAGACCTAAAACAATCAAAACCAAAACGTCCCTAGTTGATGTTACCGCTTGACTTGTAGTATCCGTTATTCCTCCACTATTGCCTGCCTGGGCTATTATGACTTCTTCCTTGACCTCTTTAGTTTTTTGATTTCCCATGGTTTTTGTGCTTTCTAGCCTTTTCGGTTTCCAAATTCCCAATACTTCCCAGCTCTACTTAGTTTTTCCCTTCAACCATACCATTTAGAACCATAATTCGATTGGCAGGATCGCCATGTGATAACCTTGCAGGGTTATCTTGATACTTTTAAATCAAACACAAGGTTTTTACAAAACCCAACTTATGTTTATTAGTTCGAAGACATTAATACAATCGTCAAAAACTATATGCCCTCTTTTGACGGCATGTTTATTCTAATTAACCTAGTTATCTTTAAAACTCATCATAAGCAATATTGCCTATTATTAATTATACATATTTATATTTGAATGTTAAACATACAATTGCTACATAATGTATAGGGTGTGAAACCCTATTGTAACTACAGGATGTTACACACTACAGGATATATCAGAAAAAAAAGGCACAAGGAAATCATATTTAGAACAAATTTGAACGATTTTCTGGTTTTAAAGGCAGATTTGAACGGAAAATAGGTCTCTCAACGGATTTGTATGACTATTTGCTCTAATTAGGGTTGTTCTAATGTTTAAAACAAAATTTATCAAATTCAGGACAGATCGCGGATAATATCGCTGAAATGCAACCTTATACCTATTCAGGAAAGTTGAAAGTGATTTAAAGCAAATTGCTCCGTTGAAAATAATATTAAACCACTTGGTTTTGAACCAACTTAAAAACATTTATTACGCGTGAGGTTCTTTTCACAATATTCTACAATAATGATAAGTACTTAATAACTATTTTTACAAAATATATATCAAACAATCCAGTTAGATTTGTTCAATCTTGAACTTCTGCTTCGGAATTTTCATAAACATCTCTTTGCGAATGTGTAAAATTTACGAACAAAATTCTTCAGATCCTGGACAAACATTTCGTCAGCAAATACGTCCAACTGTATAGCTCGACATAAAAACTTTTCAGAAATATGGGCACCCATGGAGAAGTTCAAGCGAGAGTTCAAGGCATTTTCGAGATATGTATTTTACATAACTTCTTGCCATTTACTCCAGCCTCCAGCTATTGTTCGATCGGAATATGCCGAAATATCTACTTCGATACCTTAATTTGATCACCAAGCTCATCTGTTCATCGTGAGGTGGGAAATCTGATTTTGATTACTAATATTCATATTGTATTTTGGTTGCTACCTATATTAGGTATATACCTATTTCTAAACAGGAATAATTGCGTTAGTGAATTCTGATATTCATGTAGCATATCGGCACGTAAATTTGAAAAAATATCAACGTTTTGGTAGATAACTACATAGTTAATAGTGTTCCATTGTCATAATCTAACAATGTCACAAAAATTGTCTCTCCATAACGACTATCTAAAGTTTACATTTTCTTAACTGAATACTGTTTTCCAATATCTAACAAAAAAAAAAATCATGTACCACCTGCATGTTGAACAAATTATCGATTTTTTCAATTGTATCTTTAGAAAGAGACATTGTTTTATAAAAAATACAGAAATTAATAATAAATGTTTATAAGAAAAAGAAAAACAGAAATTCAACTACACAAATATCAGAATACTCGACACAACTTCTTCACTGACTAGAATACACTGATTATGTTCAGCATTTTCAGGATTAATTCGACTTATAAAACCAATATACGTATGGTGGAAGGTGGAGTTTTCAAGGCGCATCTTCGATGATGTTTGGTACCTATCTGGCCCACGTGTGTGCTTTTAATGCATCTACACGTGCTTGTGTTGGTATATCAAAATGCATTTTTTAAGGTATCAAACTACACATAGTTTGACACTCATTTTCAAAAACACATGTTAAATGCACCTGCAATTCACTGTTTTACTCTAAAAAAGCAAACCACATGTAGGTATGATGGCGCTGCGATATTTCGCCCACGTGTGCTTGTGTTTACTGTATCAAATTACACATCGTTTAACTCTCATTTTAAAAAACACGTGTATAACGCACCTCTTTTACTCCAGAATACCAAACCACATGTATGTGATGCAGCTGCGACATCAAATGACATGTGGGGTATCAAATTACCGAACACCTGCGAAATGGGGAGGAGAAATCAAAAAGTCTATAATCTCTTACTAATATGCAAGCAAAATTCGGAACAAAACGACGATACCAAGAAGCTGTACCTATGAATCTACGAATCTCATTGACATTTTTGGGGGTCGGGATATTTAAAATCGCTTGCACCTTTTCCGGATCTGGCCTCAAGCCATCACGATCCACAATATAACCAAGATATAACAATTGCGACATGCAAAATTTGCACTTGTCCAAAGAAAGAACCAATCCTGCCTCACGCAATCTATCCAACACAACTCCCAGCAAACGAAGATGTTCCTCGAAAGTTTCACTGATCAGAATTACATCATCCAAGTAAACCATCACTTTAGGCTGAAGATCTGCCCCCAAAGCATTATCCACTATACGTTGCCAAGTTGCTGGCGCGTTGGTCAAGCCAAAAGCCATTCGGCAAAATTGGAAAAGTCCCCTCCATGGTACGGTGAAGGCAGTAAATTCACTTTTAAGGACAACAAGAATAAGATAGCCAGGCATTGTTCAATAAATATTCATCTGCAATGGTCAACTAAATCATTAGACAAATGATAAGGAGCAAAATCTTGGCTTGCTGTGCCTGAAATTGTCTAAAAAGATACAGAGTAAGGTAATTAATATCCAATCAATTAAGTCAGCTCTAAAATAATATTTGTGTGTTACCAGTTAAAACGCTGAATTACTCATTTAATGGGAAGAGCAAAATTAAAATGTTACAACTGGCGCCCAACGTGTTCTTTGAGAAAGAAATAGGGGTTAGCATTTTGACAATCCCCCTATTCCTGTTTTAAGCGTCCCGCTTATTTTTCTCCTAATTTTCTCCGGAAAATTAGACGAAAATCCTATTAATAAAAGTTTTCGCGTCTGCCAAGTGTTGGGATTTTTGGTGAAAATGAAGCGCAAAGGTTCCAAAAGGAGTGGCAAATTGGAGGACGACAATGTCCAAACCGAAGACGAGCCTCAAGAGAAAAGAGGCAGGAAAAAATCCAGAGCTTCCGAGCCCCGTCATTCAGATGATGAAAGTCCGAGCCCTAGCACAAGTAATGGAAGCCCGGACAAAAAAGGTCGCAGATCAGGAAGACAATCCTTGCCCAAAAAAACTCATGATGAAGATGAAGCTCAATCTTCGGATGATGAAGTGCTTGCCACCAAAGTGAGTCCAAATGGCGATTCTTCAGAGAAGAAGAAAAAGGAAAAAAAAAAAAAAAAAAATCAAAAGGCAAACCATCTAAGAAGAAACAAGCCGAAGTACCTGAGGAGTCTGGGGAGTCTTCAGATGATGATGAAGTGCTTGCCACCAAAGTGAGCCAAAATGGTGATACTCCAGAAAAGTAAGATCAAAAAGCAAACCAACTAAAGGGAAACAAGCCAAAGAGGCTGAGGATGAGGAGTCCACTGCAGAAAAGGATCCTCTCGCCGACGATGACGAGGAAGGAGGGGACGATTCAGAGTATGAGGTCGAGAAAATAATCGATAAAAAAATCACCAAAGGTGTCACATCTTATCTAATAAGATGGAAAGGATACGGACCAGACAGCGACACCTGGGAACCCGAAAATACTCTCGATTGTGCCGAATTGATCGAGGAGTTCAAAAAGAAACAGAAATCGAAATCGAAAAAGGACGATAAAGCCGGTAAAAAGAAAAAACCCTCCAAAAAAGATGATGAACCAGAAGAGTCCTGGGATAAAAACGAAGCTTTCGAGGTTGATCGAATTCTCGATGTTTACTTTCACAAAAATGGCAAAAAGGATTTTTTGGTTTCGTGGAAAGGGTACGGCTCTTCGTCGAATTCTTGGGAACCTGAAGACAACATGGACTGCAAGGACTTAATCGCGAAATACATGGAAAAAGTAGATAAAGCGAGACAATTTGAGAGCAAGGAAACAAGATTAAGAGAAAATCCTAAAAAGGTTGCCAGACTGACTATTGAAATGCACAGTTCGGAGAGGAATTTGAGTAGAAGACACCGAGGACAAGGTGGAAGGAGACACTACTTTGATGCTGAATAGTTATAAAACTATCACCACTGCCCCCTTATTTTGTTTTGTAATTTTAAATTTCAGTTTACCACAATTATTCATCAGCGAAACCATTTTAATTGCAACGTTTTCACAATATTATTGTAACTTCTTATTCAGAATCTCAATTCATAAAAAAATCTTCTACAAGGAGAAAAGTTTATTATTACAAATCCTAATACTAACACCATAATATAATCTGATAATTTGGTATTTTTTGAAAAATTGTTATCAATAGGTATAAAATGTAACTAAGTGAAAGAGTATTGAAATGTATGAGTTTTGTAGGAAATTCATTGTAAACATTTTGAGCTGAATCATTAGTTTTTCTTAAAATAAACCAAGATTAAATGTGGTTTTGTGTGCGTTTTTGAGGCTTGCAGTCTTGATTATTAGGATATTTGAGCCTAGGGTACAACATCCTGGGATCTCGTAATTCAGAAGAATAAAATAAAATAATTTTCTCTTATACTGGTTTATTTTTAATTCCAGGATTGCAAACCCTAGCAGCGTTTTTAGAATTAGGCATGTTTTCCAACAAAGAAAGGCCATACAAATGGCATAATTGTTTCACAATTTATTTTTTGCTCAAGGCACGTTTATTATATACCTAAGTTTGTAACTAAATTTGTTGAATGATTTGGTAGTTAAAATTCTTGATTTTTTTTGCATTATTTGAGCACAAAAAATATATTTAAGAGATTTTGTTCATTAATTTGTTCAATTGATGTTGAAGTATTTTTTCAAAAGTATATTAGATTATTATTATTATAAAAAAAAGTATAGTAAAGCATATAATAATTACTTTTAGTTTTCAGTTTCTATGTTTAAATAAGGTTTTTTTTTATAGATGTGTTATAGTTTACCATATCAATAAATTTTCTTTAAAAAAAAAAAAATCAAAATTACTGAACAAAGATAAAGAAAGATTTACCGGTTTCAGATTTTCAACGTGCCAAACACCAACACCACGTCCTGAAAAATCCTCTAATTCATAAGTCAAATAACCAGTTTTACGTTTCATCTTAAATGGGCCAAGATATTCTGGGGCCAATTTAGCACTATAATGTTTAGCCGCATCCGATAACGACTTGTTTTTACGCCAAACTTCCTGACCAACTACAAATGAATGGGCTGGTCTTCTCCTCAAATTATAATGACGTTCATTTCTTGTACGAGAAGCCAATATCTTCCTTTGTCTGGTCCGTATCCTTTCCATCTTATTAGATAAGATGTGACACCTTTGGTGATTTTTTTATCGATTATTTTCTCGACCTCATACTCTGAATCGTCCCCTCCTTCCTCGTCATCGTCGGCGAGAGGATCCTTTTCTGCAGTGGACTCCTCATCCTCAGCCTCTTTGGCTTGTTTCCCTTTAGTTGGTTTGCTTTTTGATTTTTTGATCTTACTTTTCTGGAGTATCACCATTTTGGCTCACTTTGGTGGCAAGCACTTCATCATCATCTGAAGACTCCCCAGACTCCTCAGGTACTTCGGCTTGTTTCTTCTTAGATGGTTTGCCTTTTGATTTTTTATTTTTTTTTCCTTTTTCTTCTTCTCTGAAGAATCGCCATTTGGACTCACTTTGGTGGCAAGCACTTCATCATCCGAAGACTGAGCTTCATCTTCATCATGAGTTTTTTTGGGCAAGGATTGTCTTCCTGATCTGCGACCTTTTTTGTCCGGGCTTCCATTACTTGTGCTAGAGCTCGGACTTTCATCATCTGAATGACGGGGCTCGGAAGCTCTGGATTTTTTCCTGCCTCTTTTCTCTTGAGGCTCGTCTTCGGTTTGGACATTGTCGTCCTCCAATTTGCCACTCCTTTTGGAACCTTTGCGCTTCATTTTCACCAAAAATCTCAACACTTGGCAGACGCGAAAACTTTTATTAATAGGATTTTCGTCTAATTTTCCGGAGAAAATTAGGAGAAAAATAAGCGGGACGCTTAAAACAGGAATAGGGGGATTGTCAAAATGCTAACCCCTATTTCTTTCTCAAAGAACACGTTGGGCGCCAGTTGTAACATTTTAATTTTGCTCTTCCCATTAAATGAGTAATTCAGCGTTTTAACTGGTAACACACAAATATTATTTTAGAGCTGACTTAATTGATTGGATATTAATTTCCTTACTCTGTATCTTTTTAGACAATTTCAGGCACAGCAAGCCAAGATTTTGCTCCTTATCATTTGTCTAATGATTTAGTTGACCATTGCAGATGAATATTTATTGAACAATGCCTGGCTATCTTATTCTTGTTGTCCTTAAAAGTGAATTTACTGCCTTCACCGTACCATGGAGGGGACTTTTCCAATTTTGCCGAATGGCTTTTGGCTTGACCAACGCGCCAGCAACTTGGCAACGTATAGTGGATAATGCTTTGGGGGCAGATCTTCAGCCTAAATTGATGGTTTACTTGGATGATGTAATTCTGATCAGTGAAACTTTCGAGGAACATCTTCGTTTGCTGGGAGTTGTGTTGGATAGATTGCGTGAGGCAGGATTGGTTCTTTCTTTGGACAAGTGCAAATTTTGCATGTCGCAATTGTTATATCTTGGTTATATTGTGGATCGTGATGGCTTGAGGCCAGATCCGGAAAAGGTGCAAGCGATTTTAAATATCCCGACCCCCAAAAATGTCAATGAGATTCGTAGATTCATAGGTACAGCTTCTTGGTATCGTCGTTTTGTTCCGAATTTTGCTTCCATATTGGCCCCTTTAACTCAATTAATGAAAAAAAATGCCCGATGGTCTTGGAATTCCGCTTGCGAAAACTCATTCAGGCTCATTAAGGAGCATTTGGTTACCGCTCCCGTCCTGACTTGTCCAGATTTTGATCGAACTTTCACTTTGCAAACTGACGCTTCCAATTGTGGAATTGGAGCAGATTTAACCCAACAGTTTGAGGAGGGGGAAAAGGTGATTTCTTATCTTTCACGTTCTTTGACCAAACAAGAACAAAAGTACACCGTGACAGAAAAGGAATGTTTAGCTGTCATTTGGAGTGTGGAAAAGCTGAGGCATTACCTCGAAGATTCTCATTTCAAGGTCATCACTGATCACCATTCACTTCTTTGGTTGCATCGATTGAAAGATCCTCAAGGACGTTTAGCCCGTTGAGCTTTGAGACTCCAACCATATGATTTCGAGCTTATTCATCGGAAGGGCAAAGACCATGTCGTACCTGATTTCCTGTCACGTTCAGTTCCTGTAGTGGAAGTCATTGATTCTGTAGATGATTCTGATTCCTTTTCCAACACTGTGGATAAATGGTATTTACAGATGTTTCGCAACTTAGAAAATAGCATAGAAAATATTCTTCTTGGAGGACGGAGGGTAACATTCTTTATAAATATGTCAAAAGCGTGAATGCCCGTGAGACAGTAAATTGGAAAATTGTTGTCCCTAAGGATAGGCGTACCGAAATTCTTCGACGTTGCCATGATTTGCCCACTTCTGGTCATACTGGAGTTTTCAAAACCTTTTGGAGAGTTCATGAACGGTTTTACTGGCCCAAAATGAAGGCTGATGTAGCTCGGTATGTACGATCATGTCAAGTTTGTGCCCAGCACAAGGTCGAGCAAAAACCTCCATCTGGTCATATGGGTACTCGTCCTGATATTTCGGGACCTTTTCAGTGTGTGAGTTTGGATTTTATTGGGCCGCTGCCACGATCATCGCGAGGTCACACTCATGCTTTGGTAATTTCTGACTATTTCAGTAAGTTTGTTCTAATTTTTCCGTGTAGAGCCGCAAATGCCAAGGTTTTGACGAAGAATGTTGAGGAGGGTTTGTTTCTGACCTATGGTACACCACAATATCTTATGTGTGACAATGGAACTCCAATGAAGTCGAAGGAATTTCAGTCTCTTTGTAATAAATATCAAACCAGAATATTCTATACAGCCCACTATAATCCTAAAGCCCATCCAGTAGAACGTGCGTTGTTAAGACCATGATCAGAACCTTTATAAATCAGAACGACCATCGCACTTGAGATGAGAACTTATCTTCGATAGCTTGTGCCATCCGAACCTCGAAGCACGAAACAACAGGTTATACGCCCTATTTTGTAAATTTTGGTAGAGAACATCACCTTTTTGGCAAAGACTACGAAACTATCTTGACCAAGGATGGCGTCACAGTTGAGAATTATGTCAACAAGAAAGTTGGGAAGCTTCGCCAAATTTATATTGAGATTCAAAAGAAGATATTGGCTTCTCGTACAAGAAATGAACGTCATTATAATTTGAGGAGAAGACCAGCACATTCATTTGTAGTTGGTCAGGAAGTTTGGCGTAAAAACAAGTCGTTATCGGATGCGGCTAAACATTATAGTGCTAAATTGGCCCCAGAATATCTTGGCCCATTTAAGATCAAACGTAAAACTGGTTATTTGACTTATGAATTAGAGGATTTTTCAGGACGTGGTGTTGGTGTTTGGCACGTTAAAAATCTGAAACCGGTAATACCGTGATTGTTGTCGTGATGTCAAGGCTATATTATCTTTCTTTATCTTTGTTCAGTAATTTTGTTTTTTTTTTTTTTTTTTGTTTAACGCCCTGCAGGGTGGGCGATTGTTTTGATCGTGGGTGGTTGTCTTGGCGCGAAACAAGATAACTCTTCACAATCAAGTTACAATTAGGTAGAATAATCCTGTACCGAGAACATGGTTGTGGTAAGAGTCCACTAAGTGCTGTGGTGAGGTAATCCTTCCGATACCTTACTTCTGTTGCATAACCTCAATATCTCACAGACACTGGTATTGATGGTTAAATTTTTTGTTTTTTTTAATTTTTTTTATTTATTGGTGCTTTAGCCAATTGACTGGGCACATTCAGCTTGCTCGTGACTGGGTGTTTGTGCGTAGTTTTGTTGGTCGAAGTATTCAATTTCTCTTTATCTCACCTTCATATTATTATTTTTTTTTTTGCCTTGACTGACTTAAATTGCGTATTGGGGAGTGTATGGTCCGATGTGTACCTATATATATATATTTGCTGTTCCTTTTTGCCCTGTAATGAAGTTGTGACTTATTGTTCATTCGAATGGTGAATGACATTTTGCTGCAGATCCATTTTTTTTTTCTCTTTGAAAGGCTGACGGGTATTGGGTGCTGCCGGACCAAGGTTCCGACGTTGCTCTTGGTAACAGAGTTTCTCTGTTGTCATGGGCAACAGACAGAATGGAACGGTGGGCGTCGAGGGGTTTCTGCCTGACTGGTATTCCTAGTGGGACGTGTTACGTCACCCCCACAACATGGATGCCAAATGTTGGGCAGCTACTACTGCGTTCCACCTCAGCTCCATTCTGCCTATCAGGTGCTTGGGGTCGACAGCAGTGGTACCTCTCGGAACACCCTATAAACTTTAAATTTGTTGGACTGCAAGTGCCTACCTAGTGTAACGGCACTTTTCAGCCTGGTGGAGCTATATCCAACCGTTCCTTTGTGTCGCAATCCTTTGTTTTTGACTGTTTTGGTTCCTGGCGGTGGGTTTGTCTGTCGAGGAAATTCATTATAGAACCAGTGCACGAGGTTTCCCACACTTTACTGGGATTACGCAACTCTGGACAATTTCGCTGTTCCATCAAGATTTTGAGCAAGGTAGGGATCAGCTGCATAATTCAATGTCGGTAGGGGTATTTGCTCTCGAAGTAGTTGTTCCAGATGATTTCTATTCTTTCATGTCTTGCGAAATCTTTCTGTGTAGTGTCTTCGTCGGTCATTTCCGTCGCGGGGAACTATAGCAATCCGAAATATCCTTTCGTACACCTTCCTTATATACCTTTAACTTTTATACCTTCAGTTTTTTGTTACCCTTGATAATGTTAATTTTATTGATTAGCTTTTATCTTTTTGTTCCTGCCTTCTGTCGACTTAACAATCTTATCGTCGAGAATCTTTCAAGAAAGATTTTCTCCTTTGAAAGAGAGGGGAGAGTTGTAACATTTTAATTTTGCTCTTCCCATTAAATGAGTAATTCAGCGTTTTAACTGGTAACACACAATAGTACCTATATTACATACCGAGTAGGAAAGTGTTTCATTACTGTCGAGAGATTTATATAGTCAATCGAGACGCGATTGACTATTAATCTCGAGACAGAAATGAAAACTTTCCTCCGAGGTTTGTATACTATTTTATTTGCAAGCACACCATTAATTATGATTAGTCATTTAATTTTTTTAATAAAAAAATAAATGAAATAAACATGCCAAAATGTGTCATTCACTGTTTTGACGTTTTTACCTGACATGTTCTCATTGTTGCCAGCGAAGGTAAATAAATTAGAGTGAGGGAAATCGGTGAGGGAAATCGAAGAGGGAAGTGACACTTCCAAATTTTTAAAAAGTCAGTAATGTCGAGATTACATATATGGTTGCAAATAAATATTATTTTAGAGCTGACTTAATTGATTGGATATTAATTACTTTACTCTGTATCTTTTTAGGTAATTTCAGGCACAGCAAGCCAAGATTTTGCTCCTTATCATTTGTCTAATGATTTAGTTGACCATTGCAAATTAATATTTATTGAACAATGCCTGGCTATCTTATTCTTGTTGTCCTTAAAAGGAATTTACATAAATTATCAATTTCATTAGTCGATAGCCAACATTGTTTTGATTTTCAAATAAAAAGGGGTTATGTCCAGTTAATTGTCATTCAATTTTATTTTCGCGCCAGTTCATTCCGTAGGATTAATTCCTTTAGTTTTCACTCCCTCTCTGTCTCTCTCTTACTGGAGGATTTCATTTCTTTTATTTACCTGTTATCGAGTACCTATATCGATCAATTTGCTGATACTTTGGTTTTGGTCGTGTAGGATTGGGTTTTTCAATAA